CCTCGGGGGCGCCGGCCACGGTGAGGGAGCGCCGGCTGTCGCAGCCCCACTCGCAGTCTGGGGGCACCATCCACCACCTGGGCCCTCAGAGCCCCGTGGCCAGCGGGGCCAACATGCAGTCCCTGACCAGCCCGGGCCACATCACGACGACCAGCTTGCCACCCCAGATCAGCAATATCATCCAAGGGCAGCTCATGCAACAGCAGCAGCAAGTGCTTCAAGGGCAGCAGCTGGGGAGACCCATCGGATTTGACAGGACTTCTGGTGGATTGATAGCGGGAGTTGGAGGACCTGGTGCGTTTGGGATGACATCACCTCCTCCTCCCACGAGTCCTTCACGGGCCACTGTGCCACAGGGGCTGTCGAGTCTTCCTCTTACTCCTACAGCTAACACAGCAGTGAAAAAACAACCCAAAAAGCTGGAGGAGATTCCTCCTGCCAACCAAGAGACCGCTCACATGAGGAAACTGTGTCTGGATCATCACCATAAGCAGATGGAAATTCTTAAGGAAACTTTTAAGGAATGTTTGATTGAACTGTTTTTCCTGCAACATCTTCAAGGGAATATGATGGACTTTTTAGCTTTCAAGAAGAAACATTGTGTTCCACTCCAGGCATACCTGAGGCAAAATGACTTGGATCTAGAGGAGGAAGAAGAAGAAGAACAATCCGAGGTCATCAATGATGAGGTAAGAGATGTGTTGGTTAACGTTTTTGGAATAAAAGAATGAAGTTTTAACATCTGGATTGTGACATATTAAAGAACGTGACAGGACCTGAAAAATCATTTTTCCTTGGTGAAGTATGGCAGTTTTGCATTTCATAGGTGGCCTCAGAGAATGCAGTTCTCGTAGGTAGTGTGAGTCGATGGGTCAGTTTGAGTGTGCTCTTAGATAAATGTGTTTGAAAGAAAAGAGTAGGGAGGTGAAAGGAGCTTTTGTTGTCCTGGTTAGTAGCACACTAATAAAGGTGGTATTAGTGTGGAAGCCGATTTAAACTGTCAGAATAGACATGACTAGGAATTGTCATTTAAATTTCACTTCCTAGGCTTACACAAACCAAGAAAGAACAAGCAGAAGGGGTTACAGGAGGTTAACTTGTATTTGACTCGTGTGACTATGGTTAGATAGATGTTACTGAAACTCAGTATTGCTGTGGCAACAAAAAAATCTGAATTAATCTAATTAATCAGAGGGAGCATGTGAATCATAATGTCCATGGTCGTGAATCAGGTTACTGAGGCTGCCCTGGAGCTCTGTGCAGGTTTGAACCATTGAACAACCAGCACTTACAGACTGGTCATTAACAAGTGCTTAAATTACGAACTAACTTGAGTCCATTGTTTAATAATGTCAAATGACTTAAAACAAACTTGCCACAGCAAGGTGCTCCGCAGCTTTTCCTGCACGTTTGTAGCTGTTTGTGCAGCTGTTGGGCCCCAGCACCCTGTGAGTGCTGCCTCAGAGCCTGCCCAGGAGCCTACACGGCCAGTGGTTGCAGCAGGGTGGGTGTAAGTGGTGCCCCTGCATCACTTGGCACTCAGAAATACCTTTTAAAACTTGTGAAGATTTCTACAGGTATAGAGCTGCCAGTTTGTAGGGCAAACCTGTTATGTAAAGAAATTTGTATTGCTTTGAGTACCTGATGGTAACGAGTGCAGTCAGTGAAAGTTGACGACTGTTAGGCGTGAATCATTAGCAGTCCTATGTTCAGTTGGAATTCATGGGAAATCTTAACAGTTTAGCAGCTGAAGTTTAGGTTGTTCACTGCTTTGTTGTCTGAACTTCTTGATTAGGAAAAATATATTTCTGCTTGTGATGGTTACTGATAATTTTGAAGGAATAATTTCTTCCTCTATATAGTAA